AAATTATAAATTTTAAATATTGTATAGGCATTATATATTTGACATATGTTTTAGTTCCACCTATATAATTAGCAATCTTTCCATTTTCTTTTCTTGAGATTGGAATAAAAATTGAATCATAAAGTGAAAATTAGCATTTAATAAAGTTTTCTTACTAAATAGTTAATTAGTATTAGACTTTGTTAAAGAAAATAGAGAAAAATATATAAAAAAAATTAATTTTAATTTTAATTTTTTAAAAGTTGGGTCCACCCAACCTAATCTGAGACTTATGTGGGTGGGTCATGAGTCTACCTCTTCAATTTGACATCCGAAATGACCCAATCTAAAAAACCTGAGATCTGAGACAACCCAATCCAAACCAACCCAATCCAAACCCACCCAATCTGACATGTTTGCCAGGTCTAGTTGATCATTAAGAAGGGCAAATGGTGTTCTGAAAATCTAAAGGGGTAATTGTAACTTAAAAGGAGTGATTTTGTTAGTCCTTTTAATTGCCTAGATCAGTGATTAAGTTATGTTTTCTCGTTTGACAGACTTTAACTAGCACTTGGTGTCCATTTACATGTTTGGTTAAGGTTAAGCAGTTACACCATCTAGTGTTTTCATTAAAGTTGTTTTTAATAAATAAGTTTTGAGTAATTTGTTTTATCTCTTCTACTGAATATGTTATTATTAAATTGTTTTATTATGAAATGAGATTAGCTTCTTTTTTTTTTTTATACATCTGATAATGGTAGACTATATAAAAGGGGATAGTTCTTCCCTTTCCCTACATCCTTTCTCACCTGACTCAAAGTTTAAACTTGAGATCTCTAATTTGGAATCTCAAACTCTTAACCATTGAACCACCCCTTGAGAGGATGAAATGAGATCAGTTGCTAGTCAAGCATGTTGGCTTTGTGAAATGTTTTGAGAGTAGATTATGGCCAATGTGAGAAGTGATTATTTCAAATTGTCAATTACTTTTATATTTGAGATGGTAAGTATTCTAGAATGCCTGAATGGAATAACCCTTTGCTAGGGTTAAATTGATGGTGATATATGATAGACTTGGGATCTATGAATTTTGTATTGAGGGTCATTGATCATTATACAGCCATAAAAATGAAAGAAAAAATATTTTGGAATTGTCAAATGAAATGTGATTTTATATTTTATAAAGATAGTGTGTTTAAAGAAACATGCTTAATCACACTAGATATATATACTACTTATTGAGTTGTTTAACTTATATTTTTAATATTTTGTCTCATATCAAGTGATGAAGAGTGAGTGACAACTTGCATAAAGATTGAGAGATCATTCGAATACATTGACTGAAATTTAGACTGTAGCTTAACTTAAAAGATTATTTTGGTTTTATGGAACTCTATAGATATTGACATTTTGCTTATTGGTTAATTAAGCAAGAGTCTATAAATTAGATAACATTAAATTGAGACTTAATTATTTTGCGTATGATTTAAAGATGAAAATCGCATAGTTTTTTTTTATAATTTTTTTAATGAAAATTGCATTACTAATTAGGAAGATTTAATACTTAGTTAGCCTTACACATTTATGGTGTTACCCTTATCTAAGTGTGTGGCCTTTGTTATTCTTTTATCTTTAGGTTGGGCTGTGACAGTTGGAGAAATTAAATAGAGCATAAAACACTACTAGAAAAATGACGTATGCGGACCGATCATATACGGACCGACACGTGTCGGTCCGAAAAAATAAATATTCGAACCAATATCGGTCTGAATATATTCCGGTGGGGGAAAATATACTGATGAACAT